ACGAGCTAGGCAAAATCACGACTGCGTTTGTGTTCGTCTGCCTTTCTGTGTGTGTTTGTGTATGTGAAAAGAACGTTTTCGTGTTCTCTGGACGGGATGATCGTTCGTCGCTGTCGGAAGCACACTTACGTTCAACTGCCACCTGACTCGTTCTTCTCAACTCCTCTATACGTTTTTTCTTCTTCTTTTTTCCTTTTGGTCCCCCTCCCCGTTCCCTTTTTTATTCGAGTGTCTGTGGAGTGCGACGATTTGGATCGTGGTTCGGTGCAAGGTGGTTTGGTGCGAAAAGCTGATCTAACAAACAAGTCGACAGCTCTACGGCAAACGCACAAAGGCACGAAACTCAGCGAGACGGATCAGCGTTGAAAAGAATGAACCACACGAGGTATACGAGGGATGCCTCGTACTTTCTCGATTCGTCAGCAAGACCACGCAGAGACAGAGAGCGATAGAGAGATGCAGCGTGGATTTAAAAGAACGCTGTTCTGGTCACTGATTGCGAGAAGTGCCGGCGTATCGCGAGTGAAAAACGCGGCAAAGAAGTTACACGCGTCTCTGTGTGTTATCTGTGACGATGAGGAGGAACGTTTGGAGAAAACCGGCGTTCTATTCTTTGACGTGGGAAGAACCGTTGTTCTGTGCAAACTGTAGGCACACAGGAGTCTGAGAGACAGTCTCGTCGCCATCCTCCGTGTATTGTTCCGAAAAAGGTATCAGAGAAAATTAAAGAAGTAGGGGAGGGAGGAGTACGGACAGAAAGACGAGGGATGAGAGGAAGATTAGAAATTCGAGTGGCGTATCAAGTAGAAAATAGAAAATCGAGAATAGAGAAAAATCGGAGTAGATAACATAGTGAATGAGAAGATGGACTGCAGTTTAGTATCCAGGATAACTTCGATCGAAGAATGTGGTACATCGATGGAAAACTAGAGAAATTCATCGTTAGTCGTTCGAGGTGTCTTTACAATTAAACGAAAGACACCTTCGACACTCATGGATGGACGATGAACTTTCTCTGGTGATGATGTACCGCACACTCGGATGAACTAAATTGTCTTACTAAACTTTTGCCGATGGATGTTACGTACAACAATGAGAATAGCACAAAACAATGACAGCAATCACGGCAATGGTAACGACGACAAACGACAACGACAACGACAACGACAACAACAACAACAACGACAATGATAGCAACGAAGACACGAAGAAAGCGTTGTTTAGTTGTACAATATATTCGAGCGGGCAAAAGTAGGCAAACGGAGAAGAACACAGGCCTTTTTTTGTTTTTTTTTTTTTGGCAGAGAGCATGCTACTTACTAGGTTGGACGGCAGTAGCGGCTTGGTTTGACGCGTATCGACTATCAGAGGATGATTTGGATGGATCGGCGACGGCGGCTGCGGCCGCAGCCGCAGCTGTCTGGTCGCGGCCGGTTTTTGCCTGAGCCTCGTTCGGACCTTGGTGGGACCGGCTTATATCTTTAACACGGTCTGGCCTGGCCGCAGCAGCAGCGCTCGACGTAGGTGGGTGATGGACACTCGTATGAACCGAATGCTTTACCGGGGGTTTTACGCTTGTACTTGTCGTGTTTATAGTGGTGGTGGTGGCTGTAGTAATAGTGGTTGTGGTAATTGTGGTGGTGGTTGTGGTGGTAGTTGAGGGTTTCACGTGATGAAGGGGTCGATAGGGGGGAGCGGTGGTTGCGAGGAAGGCTAGAACATACGGTACACAAAGTACAATGATGAATAAAGCCCATCGTCCTTATTAAGGGAGTTTATGCGTTTAAGACAGCGTTCATTGATGCATCGCCATGCTTAAAATGTAATAAAATGCGTGAATGCGGAGTGAAGTACAGTCCAAGACGTCAACCTCGGATGGAATATATCAAATTCGACGCTTTAGCTTTTGAGACTGACGCATTCGCGTTACGTTTGGTTTCTTTGCGATGCATTCGTTTTTCAACGAATCGCTCGAACGTTTAATCTTCGCGGTCCATTTGTATTCGTATACAAAGAGTATTTCCACGTAATTATTACACATTTTAAGCAAGGCTGCGCCGCTTCGTTGAGATTCATTCTTATTGGAGTGGTTATCGAGGACTGAAGGGTCTCTCGGTGCTACCGAACCTTGATGCTCAGAATTGCGTCCGTACTAGAATATCAAACTTTTCTCATACGTAGTATGCATTACACGCAACGACAGACAAGAAAATATCACGTAATTGCCGTGTGTGCATCGAGAATTGTAGAAGTGTCGAAAGATATTCGAGCGTGGACGAATCTTGAACAGTTGGAACAACGAGAAAGTTAGAGACAGAGAGAAAGAAAGAGAGAACGAGAGAGAGAGAGAGAGATAGAGAGAGATTAAAAAAAAAGAAAGAAGTGAACAAGCTTCAATTGGTATTGCTGCAGCATTCGCGACTCAAGAATCACTTAAACCGGGGAGAAAAGTGTTCAACCGCAAATTGGACCATACAGAGCTTCCCAGCTTATTATTAACCAGCAATAATTATTCAAAAAATCGACGTTTAATCCTGACATTCGTTTCTCAATTGAATTTCTCATCGAGTTTCTACTGTACATCGTGATTGGGACCAACGCGATTCGATACGCGGTTCAATCCTTTAACAGTTTAATCGAAAGAGAAAAGTGTCCAACGATAAGCGGAGAAACAGATAAACAAACAAATTGCACGTATCGTGTTACGTTTCGTTCTGTCCCTACAATAGATGAGAGACTCTAAACTGTTCAAGGGTCAAAGGCAAAGAGAAGAGGTTTCAGGGGGGGGGGGTTGAACGGTGACCGGGTGGTAACTGGTGCAGGATGAAGGGTTTTAGAGAATATCTGAAAATACGTGAAAGTTGGGCTAGCGGGCAGCAGGTACGTGGGTACAGAGAACGTACATTTCCGATGGACCTGCGGGGACCTCCTGTAGAACGGAGTAGGCCCTGGGCCCGAGGGTGGTGGTGGTAATGGCGGCACGCTGGTCGACGAACCTGTCGAGGAAATCGTCGACGGTTCCCGTATGCTCCAACGTACGCGGCCAGGGCCTGTGACTGAAACACCCGCTACCACTCCTGATCAATCCGATCACGATGCTCGGACGATCGTCGATCCGATCGTGATCGATTTCGCGCGAGCAACTCATGTCAGCAATTAGCCTGATTAATGACTGAATGGTTGTTTGACAAAGAAAAAGAGGCAAAGTTGCGACAAAG